AGGAGGCAACCGGTGAGTCATATGATAACCAACGAGGCCTGGTCCTCAACAACAGCAGCAGCTTCGCTTCAGTATTCGAGGTCATTGAGGGACTGCAGTTTCGTAGTGCCTGAGAACACAACCACTGCTATTGTTGGAGTCACTGGCTCTGGCAAAACCACAGTCTCTAGGTGAGTCGGCGTGTAGTTAGAAGAGAACGAAAGGGCATGCATTCACAAGTTACCAATGCGCTGGATGCTTACATTTGTATTTACTCTCAGACTACTATTCCGCTTCTTTGACGTTGATGATGGTGCCGTACGTATTGGTGGTTATGATGTCCGTGATGTGACTCAGAAGAGTCTAAGAGCCCAGATAGGATGCGTACCACAGGATGTAGTGTTGTTTAATGATACCATCATACATAATATACGGTAGGGCTACCTCTACAGGGTGTACGTATGCAGTGTTGATGATGATGATGATATACTAGGTATGGTCGTCTTGATGCAACAGATGAGGAATGCTGGGAAGTAGCTCGTAAGGCTAGGTTGGACCAGCTTATTAAACAGCAGCTAGATGGCATGAATACTGTATGCTCATGCTCACTTATATTGCATTGATTTAGCGTCCCTGTTAGGTGGTCGGTGAGAGGGGCCTTAAGCTCTCAGGAGGGGAGAAGCAGAGGTTGGCCATAGCCAGGTGTATGTTGAAGAACACCCCAATACTCTTGCTCGACGAGGTGAACGAATACATGAGAACCTGCTTGTGGTGATGCTTGTCCATACTTCTTCTAGGCTACCTCTGCATTGGACTCTGCTACTGAGCAAGCCGTGCAGATAGCATTGGCCAATCTAAGGGAGAATAGGACAACTATTGTCATTGCACATCGTCTCTCTACTATAAGGCATGCCAACCAGATAGTGGTACTAGGGTATTACTATAGAGAGGAGCATCCGCAACTATACCTCTAAAGTAATCATATAGGAACTCTTCAATAGGTGCTGGAGTTCGGCAAGCTAGTTGAGAAGGGCACTCATGAAGACCTTATTAAACTACCAAACGGGAAGTATTGCTACTGTCGTTATGATTGTGTCATACCATTCATCGGGCAGATATAGAGATCTGTGGGAGAAGCAGCAGAGAGGTATCGATGTTGATGTGCACTCTGGTGGTGAGATGCCCAGTAGTGAGGGCAGCAGTAGTAGCAATGAGCAGCAGCCCAAAGCACACCCCCATCCCAGCCATACGTGATATAATCGAACAGTGATTGTGACCCAATCCTACTCCTAGCTTGAAGTATCCTCTCTGTTATCGCCGTATGGAGTCCCGATACCCAGCA